TACGTCAGATTCATGACGTGTTCTTAAAGTGCAGAACTGTTCTCACCTTTGTGCTCTTGAGTGTGTTATATCTGTTCTTACCTGAGAACCAATCCCAAGAAAGAACTGGTGAATGTCCAAATGTGTTAATGTGAAAATAAATCACAAAGTCATTACTTCCTAAAGGAATTTTATGATTACAATATTCTCTGAATGTTTAATATCAGTGGACAATAACCCAGAAATCAAAACTGCCAGAGTTGTGTGCAAACCAAACCAAAGTGCCTTTGTCAGATCCTTCACCATGTAATGCCATGTGTGGGTGTGTGTACTTGGTCTCAAATTAGGTCCCCTCAAAAATGCTAATCAAGTTAAGTAACTAGAAAAAAAGTTCTTTTAAAGGAAAAACAATCTAAACTAAATACATCAAAACAAAAAACAATTCTAGCAGCTTGTGAACTGCAAAGAAGCCACTGTACCATCGTAACGTTAGGAGAGATGAAGAGGCAGGATGGATGTCCTTGTATTTTTTGAAAACACAGAAGAAAACAAATCCACAAAGGTGACTAAACAGAGGAAGAACACTAATGACAGAAATATTTAAACAGAATGGAAACGAAAGACACAGAGGCATGAAGTAAATTAGAAAGAGACCAAAACAGTAACAAGAGCACAAAAGAACCAAGGAAAGATGAGGACAGGGTGAGACAGGATGTGACAGAACCCCCCCCACACACACACACACACAAAGGGCTGCTCCTGAGGAACTGAAGGGCTTCCTCTCTGATATGGAAGGAGAGGTTTCGAGGTATTATGGGAAATTTATGAGAAATAGTTAAACAGCCAAGTAATCCAGTTTGGTTTTCTGAAGAAATGGGACAGTAAAACTTTAGGCTTTGCCGGAGATGGGAACATTTTCAGAATTGACCAGTTACATAGTAGTTAAAAGTGCAGAAGACTTGAGCAAAGTATGCTCAGACTGATGTCTCTCTGAGGAGAAAAGCACTAGAGAGAATGGAGATAAGCTGAGGAGGAGAGCAAGAAAACAGACATGTACAGAGACCGGAAATCTAACAGTACTGCCAGAGGGGGATGGGGTGGCACCGCCCACAGGAAAGCATGCCTCCCCCTCCGGAAACAGTGGACCTCTGGAACAGAGTTATGTTATCAGAGCCTGATTCCTCATCTGGATCCCATTAAAGAGCAGTAACTCTATGAACTTCCTCTCTCAGGGTGCTGAAAAAGACTCCAGTAAAACTATTAACTCCCCAGTACAGCCAATAGCTCCCCAGTAGAACTAGTAGCTCTCGAGCAGAACAGTTATTTCTCCAGTAGAGCTGTTGACTCACCAGTAGAACCGTTAACTCTCCAGTAGAACTGTTACCCCTCCAGTGGAGCCAAAAACTCCCCAGTAGAACTGATAACTGCCCAATAGAACTGTTTACTCTCCGGTAGAGCCAGTAACTCTCCAGTAGAACCACTGACTCTCCGGTAGAGCAGTTAATTCCCCAGTAGAACGGATAACTGCCCAGTAGAACTAAGTACTCTCCAGTAGAGGCCTTAACGCTCCAGTAGAGCCATAAACTCTCCGGTAGAGCCAGTAACTCTCCAGTAGAGCCTCTAACTCTCCGGTAGAGCGGTTAATTCCCCAGTAGAACCGATAACTGCCCAGGAGAACTATGTACTCCCCAGTAGAGCCAGTAACTCTGCCGTAGAACCATTAACTCTACAAAAGAGCTGTTAACTCTCCAGTAGAGCCCTTAACTCTCCGGTAGAGCCAATAACTCTCCGGTAGAGCCGTTAACTCTCTGGTAGTTTGAATGGGTGGGGCTAAACTGTTGTAGGCTGAATGGGTGGGGCTAAACTGTTGTAGGCTGAATGGGTGGGGATTAACTGTTGTAGGCTCAATGGGTGGGGCTTAACTGTTGTAGGCTCAATGGGTGGGGCTTAACTGCTGTAGCTGAATGGTGGAGCTAAACTGCTGTAGACTGAATGGTGGAGCTAAACTGCTGTAGCTGAATGGGTGGAGCTAAACTGCTGTAGCTGAATGGTGGAGCTAAACTGCTGTAGACTGAATGGTGGGGCTAAACTGCTGTAGACTGAATGGTGGAGCTAAACTGCTGTAGACTGAATGGTGGAGCTAAACTGCTGTAGACTGAATGGTGGAGCTAAACTGCTGTGACTGAATGGTGGGGCTAAACTGCTGTAGCTGAATGGTGGAGCTAAACTGCTGTAGACTGAATGGTGGAGCTAAACTGCTGTAGCTGAATGGTGGAGCTAAACTGCTGTAGCTGAATGGTGAGGCTAAACTGCTGTAGGCTGAATGGGTGGAGCTAAACTGCTGTAGCTGAATGGGTGGAGCTAAACTGCTGTAGCTGAATGGTGGGGCTAAACTGCTGTAGCTGAATGGGTGGAGCTAAACTGCTGTAGCTGAATGGGTGGAGCTAAACTGCTGTAGCTGAATGGTGGGGCTAAACTGCTGTAGACTGAATGGTGGGGCTAAACTGCTGTAGACTGAATGGTGGGGCTAAAATGCTGTAGCTGAATGGATGGAGCTAAACTGCTGTAGACTGAATGGTGGAGCTAAACTGCTGTAGACTGAATGGTGGAGCTAAACTGCTGTAGACTGAATGGTGGGGCTAAACTGCTGTAGCTGAATGGTGGGGCTAAACTGCTGTAGACTGAATGGTGGGGCTAAACTGCTGTAGCTGAATGGTGGAGCTAAACTGCTGTAGCTGAATGGGTGGAGCTAAACTGCTGTAGCTGAATGGTGGAGCTAAACTGCTGTAGACTGAATGGTGGAGCTAAACTGCTGTAGACTGAATGGTGGAGCTAAACTGCTGTAGACTGAATGGTGGAGCTAAACTGCTGTAGCTGAATGGGTGGAGCTAAACTGCTGTAGACTGAATGGGTGGAGCTAAACTGCTGTAGACTGAATGGTGGAGCTAAAATGCTGTGACTGAATGGTGGAGCTAAACTGCTGTGACTGAATGGTGGAGCTAAACTGCTGTGACTGAATGGTGGAGTTAAACTGCTGTAGCTGAATGGGTGGGGCTAAACTGCTGTAGCTGAATGGGTGGAGCTAAACTGCTGTAGACTGAACGGTGGAGCTAAACTGCTGTAGACTGAACGGTGGAGCTAAACTGCTGTAGCTGAACGGTGGAGCTAAACTGTTGCAGCTGAACGGTGGAGCTAAACTGTTGCAGCTGAACGGTGGAGCTAAAGTGCTGTAGACTGAACGGTGGAGCTAAACTGCTGTAGCTGAACGGTGGAGCTAAACTGCTGTAGCTGAACGGTGGAGCTAAACTGCTGTAGACTGAACGGTGGAGCTAAACTGTTGCAGCTGAACGGTGGAGCTAAACTGTTGCAGCTGAACGGTGGAGCTAAACTGCTGTAGCTGAATGGTGGAGCTAAACTGCTGTAGACTGAATGGTGGAGCTAAACTGCTGTAGACTGAATGGTGGAGCTAAACTGTTGTAGACTGAATGGTGGAGCTAAACTGCTGTGGCTGAATGGTGGAGCTAAACTGCTGTAGACTGAATGGTGGAGCTATACTGCTGTAGACTGAATGGTGGAGCTAAACTGCTGTGGCTGAATGGTGGGGCTAAACTGCTGTAGCTGAATGGTGGAGCTAAACTGATGTAGGCTAAATGACATTTCCTTTAGCACTGGGTGACGTCACACAGCTGCTCTCTGAAACACCTCTTCTGTGTTTATATTCTGTGAAAGCGTTCCTCTTCTTGTTCTGCTGATTTACATAATTTATCAGTCCTTCCTGCTCTTTGTGTTTTTCAACCTTTTCTATGAATTATTTAATTACCCATCAACCTGTAAATTGTGTTAGAGGTGAAATTTCAATCTGCAAAGTACAATGTTGTGTCAACCCTGCAGTTAATCACTCATATTCCTATCCCACACTATTTGACTGCAGAAATACAGTTCATGTATTTGCATGTGAAGTTGTGCCCTAGTTCATCTTAATCCATGCTCTATAGACTGAGATGGCTTCTACACTGAGCTAGAATAATAACTCGAGAGAGGACAGTGTCTTGATTCAGGAGTTTATATGTACAGAGTCAGAGATTATAACAGATTATAAGAGAGTTTCAGCTCCTGAATGAGGTGGAGAAACCCTCTGTTCTCCTTTAGCTTTTCCAAAAAGGAGCACCCTGCACACTGTCACGGTTTGACTGTTCTGTGAGAAGTAACATCATAAAGTCATAAACGGTCTGTGTGCAGCTAGTTCACTCAGACACAATAATAACATCATAAAGTCATAAACGGTCTGTGTGCAGCTAGTTCACTCAGACACAATAATAACATCATGAAGTCATAAACGGTCTGTATGCAGCTAGTTCACTCAAGACACAATAATAACATCATGAAGTCATAAACGGTCTGTATGCAGCTAGTTCACTCAGACACAATAATAACATCATAAAGTCATAAACGGTCTGTGTGCAGCTAGTTCACTCACAGACACAATAATAACATCATGAAGTCATAAACGGTCTGTGTGCAGCTAGTTCACTCACAGACACAATAATAACATCATAGTCATAAACGGTCTGTGTGCAGCTAGTTCACTCAGACACAATAATAACATCATAAAGTCATAAACGGTCTGTGTGCAGCTAGTTCACTCACAGACACAATAATAACATCATAAAGTCATAAACGGTCTGTGTGCAGCTAGTTCACTCACAGACACAATAATAACATCATGAAGTCATAAACGGTCTGTGTGCAGCTAGTTCACTCAGACACAATAATAACATCATGAAGTCATAAACGGTCTGTGTGCAGCTAGTTCACTCAGACACAATAATAACATCATAAAGTCATAAACGGTCTGTGTGCAGCTAGTTCACTCACAGACACAATAATAACATCATAAAGTCATAAACGGTCTGTGTGCAGCTAGTTCACTCAGACACAATAATAACATCATAAAGTCATAAACGGTCTGTATTCTCTGTTGAATCTGAGCTGCTTTATGAGTGCTACTGTCACTTTAACAGGAATTACGCTGCTCCACAGCTGAACACTCCCTGAATCAAAGCTGAAAGTAAAGTGGAGGAGCAGGAGAAGAAGGAGAGGGAGAGAGAGAGAGAGAGAGAGAGAGAGATATTACACAGCAACAGAGACTTTATTAAACACGGTAAGTTCATCATAAACACACACATTCAACACTGATGTGTAGATTAAAGAAAGAATACGTGTTTTATAGTTTATAACTAAACTCAGTGGAGGATTAAAGCTCTAGTAGAAGTGATGGTTCAGTCGTAAAGGTTCTTGATCAGGGTGTAAGTTGGCCAACAGTGAACCATTATAACAGATAACCGAGCAGTGAAATGGAGAAAACGGCTGTAGAGAAACTAAGTAATCCTGTATTTACATGATGAACAGAGAACTGTGTTCATTTTAGTCATCATTCATTATGATACAGATCAGAATGAGCTTCAGTAAAATCTGATCTTCGAGGCTGAAGTTGGCTTCTTATTGAAATTTTCCAGTCCACCTTAAAACACTGCAGTTTTAATATTTTCCCTTAAGGGGGCGGTGTTTAACTGGTCTGAAATGAAAAGATCTGGAGTTACAGGCCAAATGGAAATGCTTTAAAGTGCAGTTGGCTTGTGGTTTATTCTGATACTGTTTATTCAGAGGATCAAAGAAACAATGCTACTGTATATTTCATTATAATTCAGTGTTATGATGTAGTTTTAGTCTGTTATTTTGTAAAGTCCGAATCTACAGACTGTTTGATAACGTAGAGTTAGGCTTAAATAGATCAGATTCTGATCTACGAGGAAAGCCTTTGTTTATAAAGGCTGATTTGTGATGATCAGTGAGTTACAGTAATGAAGTATCACTGTAAGAGTTCTTATACTTCAGGAATATAATATAGTATTAATATGTGAATCATATCTTCATATCAGATTCCAGACTGTTTGATAATGAGGAGTTTGGTCTTCAGACTCACTCACTGTACAGTCACTCTTTGGTTGTGTATAAAGGCTGATGGTGATATTTAGAGGGTCACAGTGTAAACATGCTACTGTAAATGATGATCTACTCCAGTACTGTAATCCAGCTCTGCTCCGTGTGTCAGACTAGATTATCAGATTTAACTGACTGATTGATCAAAAACATCCAGTAAGAGTTCAGTTCTCACAGTCTCATATCATGTTCAGCAGCTGAGGATAAACAAAGGTACTTTTATTATAATCTGTGCTTTTAAAGTTCAGTTTAATTGATTCTCATAATTTAGTGTGAGATTAACAGATAATCTGATCGTCGACAAGCAATCGCGCTCTCAGTACTGCAAGTCTTTACATTATGAATCAGTTAAATGTTGCCCTCTACTGGTGAAATATCTCTATAGAGACTAAAACTAAATTAATGATGGTTAAAAACACTGCTCGTGCTTTGAGCTCATCTACTCTGGATTTTACGGTAAACCGTTTAAGAGAGAAAAACGCTGCTCGTGCTTTGAGTTCAGATGTTGAGAAATCTAAAAGAACTGGGTTTCTGAGCTCTAACACTCCAAAAAGAACCTGCCTGAACAAAAACAAGCTCAGAAACCAAGACGTGGATTTGATTTACAGTTTATGAACAAAATACACTGTTGATCGATACATGATCAATATCAGCTCCAGTGATCAGACTGAGTGTTATGGTTTGTTCTGTTTGCTGTAGTTCTGCTGTGAGATCTGCTGAAATCCAGACTCTCTCCTTGTGTGAACTGAATACTGACTCTGACTCTGAGGTAGAAAATGAGATGGGATGGGATAGAATTCCGAATAGTCGTTCAGTTCTATTTATGACACGTTATAAAATTCCATAAAATTAACTGTCAAACTGTTTTCAACAAACTGAATATGATTACCTCAATATTACTGAAGAACACCTGCCCACCAACTGACGACTCACCTGCATTTTACTGTAGGAATACGGAATAACGGGATTTTCTCCTTTCTGTTAGTGGAGATGAGATCACATTACTTCAAATTACTACAATAAAAATGTATGGAAAGCATGATTACCTGGAAAAGTGTTCTTCTAGAAGGTTTTACGTTTGTTAAAAAACTGTAGAATTTATCCATTTTTTAAATCAGGAAATCTGTGAATTCTGTCTGTATTATAGACTTTTTCTGTTACACGTACAGACGAGTGACACATTAAAGAAGAACCTGAATAAATGAGTGGAGAAGCATAACGAGTGCAGGTGAACTGCAGGATGTAATTAATGAATTAAGATTGCGGTTCTAGTCGTGTGGAAACTTGAGGTTAAAAATCTAAAATGTTTTTGTTTTAAAATGTATAAACATGAACACTGTAAGAGTGAATGTAAAGTAGGAACTGTAAACTGTGTTGGTTATTAATCTTCAGTGTAATATCAAAAGACTGATCATCAGTTTACATTCATATATTTTCATAATTTTTTTGATCAGTGGTTAATTTGACTGAATTTAAGCACAGTACTGTTTTATTGAGGCTTCTTAAGTAGGAATTTGTTCGGCCATTGCATTTCGGTTGTGCTGCAACTCCCCAAATGAGGGAATCTCCACAGCGGCGCTGTGGCTAACAGAGCGGCAGTAGGACCCTGCGGCCCTGTGGCTAACAGAGAGGCAGTAGGAGCCAGCGGCGCTGTGGCTAACGGAGCGGCAGTAGGACCCAGCGGCGCTGTGGCTAACGGAGCGGCAGTAGGACCCAGCGGCGCTGTGGCTAACGGAGCGGCAGTAGGACCCAGCGGTGCTGTGGGTAAGAGAGCGGCAGTAGGACCCAGCGACGCTGTGGCTAACAGAGCGGCAGTAGGACCCAGCAGCGCTGTGGTTAACAGAGAGGCAGTAGGACCCAGCGACACTGTGGCTAACGGAGCGGCAGTAGGACCCAGCGACGCTGTGGCTAACAGAGCGGCAGTAGGACCCAGCAGCGCTGTGGTTAACAGAGCGGCAGTAGGACCCAGCGACGCTGTGGCTAACGGAGCGGCGGTAGGACCCAGCGGCGCTGGGGCTAACGGAGAGGCGGTAGTACCCAGCGGCCCTGTGGCTAACGGAGCGGCAGTAGGACCCAGCGGCGCTGTGGGTATGAGAGCGGCAGTAGGACCCAGCGGCGCTGTGGCTAACAGAGAGGCAGTAGGACCCAGCGGCGCTGTGGGTAAGAGAGCGGCAGTAGGACCCAGCGGCGCTGTGGGTAAGAGAGCGGCAGTAGGACCCAGCGGCGCTGTGGCTAACAGAGCGGCAGTAGGACCCAGCGGCGCTGTGGGTAAGAGAGCGGCAGTAGGACCCAGCGACGCTGTGGCTAACAGAGCGGCAGTAGGACCCAGCGACGCTGTGGCTAACAGAGCGGCAGTAGGACCCAGCAGCGCTGTGGTTAACAGAGAGGCAGTAGGACCCAACGACACTGTGGCTAACAGAGCGGCAGTAGGACCCAGCGGCGCTGTGGGTAAGAGAGCGGCAGTAGGACCCTGCGGCGCTGTGGGTAAGAGAGCGGCAGTAGGACCCAGGGATGCTGTGGCTAACAGAGCGGCAGTAGGATCCAGCGGCGCTGTGGCTAACGGAGCGGCAGTAGGACCCAGCGGCGCTGTGGCTAATGGAGCGGCAGTAGTACCCAGCGGCTCTGTGGTTAAGTGAGCGGCAGTAGGACCCAGCGACGCTGTGGCTAACGGAGCGGCAGTAGGATCCAGCGGCGCTGTGGCTAACGGAGAGGCAGTAGGAGCCAGCGGCCCTGTGGCTAACGGAGAGGCCGTAGGAGCCAGCGGCGTTGTGGTTAACAGAGAGGCAGTAGGACCCAGCGACACTGTGGCTAACAGAGCGGCAGTAGGACCCTGCGGCGCTGTGGCTAACAGAGCGGCAGTAGGACCCTGCGGCGCTGTGGCTAATGGAGAGGCAGTAGTACCCAGCGGCTCTGTGGTTAAGTGAGCGGCAGTAGGACCCAGCGACGCTGTGGCTAACGGAGCGGCAGTAGGACCCAGCGGCGCTGGGGCTAACGGAGAGGCAGTAGTACCCAGCGGCCCTGTGGCTAACGGAGAGGCAGTAGTACCCAGCGGCCCTGTGGCTAACGGAGAGGCAGTAGGAGCCAGCGGCGCTGTGGCTAACGGAGCGGCAGTAGTACCCAGCGGCGCTGTGGGTATGAGAGCGGCAGTAGGACCCAGCGGCGCTGTGGGTAAGAGAGCGGCAGTAGGACCCAGGGATGCTGTGGCTAACAGAGCGGCAGTAGGACCCAGGGATGCTGTGGCTAACAGAGCGGCAGTAGGATCCAGCGGCGCTGTGGCTAACAGAGCGGCAGTAGGATCCAGCGGCGCTGTGGCTAACAGAGCGGCAGTAGGATCCAGCGGCGCTGTGGCTAACAGAGCGGCAGTAGGACCCTGCGGCGCTGTGGCTAATGGAGCGGCAGTAGTACCCAGCGGCTCTGTGGTTAAGTGAGCGGCAGTAGGACCCAGCGACGCTGTGGCTAACGGAGCGGAAGTAGGATCCAGCGGCGCTGTGGCTAACGGAGAGGCAGTAGGAGCCAGCGGCCCTGTGGCTAACGGAGAGGCCGTAGGAGCCAGCGGCGTTGTGGTTAACAGAGAGGCAGTAGGACCCAGCGACACTGTGGCTAACAGAGCGGCAGTAGGACCCTGCGGCGCTGTGGCTAATGGAGAGGCAGTAGTACCCAGCGGCTCTGTGGTTAACTGAGCGGCAGTAGGACCCAGCGACGCTGTGGCTAACGGAGCGGCAGTAGGACCCAGCGGCGCTGGGGCTAACGGAGAGGCAGTAGTACCCAGCGGCCCTGTGGCTAACGGAGAGGCAGTAGGAGCCAGCGGCGCTGTGGCTAACGGAGCGGCAGTAGTACCCAGCGGCGCTGTGGGTATGAGAGCGGCAGTAGGACCCAGCGGCGCTGTGGGTAAGAGAGCGGCAGTAGGACCCAGCGGCGCTGTGGCTAACGGAGAGGCAGTAGGACCCAGTGGCGCTGTGGCTAACGGAGCGGCAGTAGGACCCAGCGGCGCTGTGGGTAAGAGAGTGGCAGTAGGACCCAGCGACGCTGTGGCTAACAGAGCGGCAGTAGGACCCAGCGGCGCTGTGGTTAACAGAGAGGCAGTAGGACCCAGCGACACTGTGGCTAACAGAGCAGCAGTAGGACCCAGCGGCGCTGTGGGTAAGAGAGCGGCAGTAGGAGCCAGCGGCCCTGTGGGTAAGAGAGCGGCAGTAGGACCCAGGGATGCTGTGGCTAACAGAGCGGCAGTAGGATCCAGCGGCGCTGTGGCTAACGGAGCGGCAGTAGGACCCTGCGGCGCTGTGGCTAACGGAGCGGCAGTAGGACCCAGCGGCGCTGTGGCTAACGGAGAGGCAGTAGGAGCCAGCGGCCCTGTGGCCAACGGAGAGGCAGTAGGAGCCAGCGGCCCTGTGGCCAACGGAGAGGCAGTAGGAGCCAGCGGCGTTGTGGCTAACAGAGAGGCAGTAGGACCCAGCGACACTGTGGCTAACAGAGCGGCAGTAGGACCCTGCGGCGCTGTGGCTAATGGAGAGGCAGTAGGACCCAGGGATGCTGTGGCTAACAGAGCAGCAGTAGGACCCAGCGGCGCTGTGGCTAACAGAGCGGCAGTAGGACCCAGCGGCGCTGTGGGTAACAGAGCGGCAGTAGGACCCTGTGGCGCTGTGGCTAACGGAGAGGCAGTAGGAGCCAGCGGCCCTGTGGCTAACGGAGAGGCAGTAGGAGCCAGCTGCGCTGTGGGTAAGAGAGCGGCAGTAGGACCCAGCGGCGCTGTGGCTAACGGAGAGGCAGTAGAACCCAGTGGCGCTGTGGCTAACGGAGCGGCAGTAGGACCCAGCGGCGCTGTGGGTAAGAGAGCGGCAGTAGGACCCAGTGACGCTGTGGCTAACAGAGCGGCAGTAGAACCCAGCGGCGCTGTGGCTAACAGAGAGGCAGTAGGACCCAGCGGCGCTGTGGGTAAGAGAGAGGCAGTAGGACCCAGCGGCACTGTGGCTAACAGAGCAGCAGTAGGACCCGGCGGCGCTGTGGTTAACAGAGCGGCAGTAGGACCCGGCGGCGCTGTGGCTAACAGAGCGGCAGTAGGACCCTGCGGCGCTGTGGCTAACGGAGAGGCAGTAGGAGCCAGCGGCGCTGTGGCTAACAGAGCGGCAATAGGACCCTGCGGCGCTGTGGCTAACGGAGAGGCAGTAGGAGCCACGGCCGATGTGGCTAACGAGAGGCAGTAGGAGCCAGCGGCGCTGGTTGGTAAGAGAGCGGCCGTAGGACCCAGCGGCGCTGTGTCTAACGGAGAGGCAGTAGAACCCCAGTGGCGCTGTGGCTAACGGAGCGGCAGTAGAACCCAGCGGCGCTGTGGGTAAGAGAGCGCTCAGTAGGACCCAGTGACGCTGTGGCTAACAGAGCGGCAGTAGAACCCAGCGGCGCTGTGGTTAACAGAGAGGCAGTAGGACCCAGCGGCGCTGTGGGTAAGAGAGAGGCAGTAGGACCCAGCGGCGCTGTGGCTAACAGAGCGGCAGTAGGACCCGGCGGCGCTGTGGTTAACAGAGCGGCAGTAGGACCCGGCGGCGCTGTGGTTAACAGAGCGGCAGTAGACCCACTAATGCGGTGGGCGAACATAGCGGCAGTAGGACCCGGCGGGGCTGTGGTTACAGAGCGGCAGTAGGACCCGTCGGGGCTGTGGTTAACAGAGCGGCAGTAGGACCCGGCGGCGCTGTGCTAACAGAGCAGCAGTAGGACCTGGCGGTAGGATGCACTGCAGAAGGAAATGAGGACAGTAGGCCGTTATTTGCTATTTCAGTGAAATTTTAAAGAATGATCTAATACTGAGTCTAACACTTCATTCCCTGTTTACTCGGTCACTTAAAGGTGCAGTAAGTGATTTCAGTTAAAGACACTCTTTGTCCAGTTCCCTGAATATCTCCTCACGGTCCACTAGCTCTCTGTTCTGGGTGCACTGCTGTTGGTGCAGCACAGCCCTGACTCTGTAAACAGGAAACAAAGAGGCTCGGACCGAACGACACAACACTGTTCCAGCCAGTCAGCATCAGGGGGCACTCGAGCTCAGGAAAGGGGGAAGGGGAGGGGCTACACGCTGAACTCCACGCTTAGTAAAGTAGTACAGATGGCCGAGAAACAATGGTGAAGAGCCGTGTTTTATATCTGAGGGGTGTTTCATCAGTAGAGAAACCTCTTTTTCAGATTCTCCCATTCCACCTTAAATGGCGCAGCAGTCACATTCAGGCGCCTCTAGTCTGAATCCTCCTGCTGTGTATTTCTGCCTCACACACTGCTACAGGCTTTACAGCAGTCACTACAGTTTCAGAGGAGAGTGCAGACAGCCTGACAAAACCAGGCTTGGTTTTTAGTAGAAATCAGTGAGGTGACCTGCAGGGCCCCAGGTGAGCTGGTGTGGAATAACCAACAGAAACAGTTTAAAACAGGGAGGGAAAGTCATGCTGTGCACCATCAATAACTGTACTGACAGGTGCATTATTATTAATATTTCTATTAGAGTTTTATTAATAATATAAAAAACGTACATTTTATATTATTTCTGAATTTATTCATATGATTTCCTATCTTTAATGACATATTTCTGTATTTAATGTTGGTCTTAAATGGCATTTTATAGTTTTTAAATACTTATACTACAACAAAATAAAGAGGCACTACAGAGGTCACACAATGAAGCAATCGGTCAGGAGCTCTCAGGTTATGGGTGCAGCAAACTCAAGACAACGGCACCATTTAACCATTGATTTCACTCTTCCTACATGTTCTCCTCAAATGCTCTAGCTTTGTGTGTTATTTGTAGCACTGCATGATGCTGCAGTGACAACAAACTCATGAGTGTACAGTCAGTGTGATCATCATCCTGTGTGTGTTTTGTGTGTCTTAATAGATCTCAGAGAGAAATCCAGAGGAACAGCTCCATGATGGAGCTTCATCACTCCAGCAGTGGAGCAGGAGCCTCTGATCTAAAGTGAGTAACTTTATATCAGCAGTTTTTATGCAAAGAAAAAATTAAAATGTATAAAAAAGATTTACAAAATGATTCTCAGTTATGTTTGTGTTAAATGAGGTTTAGTAAATAAAGTATTTACTCAACTCTCATCATGCTGTCAGGTTAAAGCGTGCAGGATCTCCAGATCCCAGCTGTGTGTCTGAGAAGAGATACCGGTCCACATCTGACTCTCCTGGATTCAGCAGAGGAGGAGGAGGAGAACCCAGCCATGTGTCTATGAAGAGTGACCAGTCATTGCCTGTCCCTCCTGGATTCAGCAGAGGAGGAGGAGAACCCAGCCGTGTGTCTATGAAGAGTGACCAGTCATTGCCTGTCCCTCCTGGATTCAGCAGAGGAGGAGGAGGAGAACCCAGCCGTGTGTCTATGAAGAGTGACCAGTCATTGCCTGTCCCTCCTGGATTCAGCAGAGGAGGAGGAGAACCCAGCCGTGTGTCTATGAAGAGTGACCAGTCATTGCCTGTCCCTCCTGGATTCAGCAGAGGAGGAGGAGAACCCAGCCGTGTGTCTATGAAGAGTGACCAGTCATTGCCTGTCCCTCCTGGATTCAGCAGAGGAGGAGGAGAACCCAGCCGTGTGTCTATGAAGAGTGACCAGTCATTGCCTGTCCCTCCTGGATTCAGCAGAGGAGGAGGAGAACCCAGCCATGTGTCTATGAAGAGTGACCAGTCCATGCCTGAGCATCCTGGATTCAGCAGAGGAGCTGTTCCCTCTGAGTGAGTTGTTGTCCTTTTACTGAATAATGAACAGTTAAAGAAATTGAGCACAGCAGTTACTGGCTGATCTCAGTCAGCTGTTAGATCAGCTAATCGGATGCTATGGCTACGATTGGCTTAATTAGTCAGGGCACTGATTTAAGCTGTTCTCATTGCTCTGGGGGTCTTTTTGCTGCTCCCCCAGAACTGAGCCATACTGCCAAATATAACTTACTGTAAATGCAAACAAGATATTTTCTTTGAAGTGGTCCTGGCTGAACTTTAAACCTCAGCAGAAGGAGAGTCCAGCATGTCCAGTCACTGACCATATGGTATAATTAGTAATCTGTAGAATTTTATAATAAGATAAGTATGTTTATATACGGGTAAGAGAAATATTCATATAATCCAGAGACGATGTGTTAGACAGCCAATCATTATGCGTTTACAGTTTGTTTACAGATGTATGAAATGTAAACTATTAATGCTCTGTTCTAGTTTAGAAGTAGTTCATTATAAATGTTTCAGCCTGTAAACTACTCGTCTTAATATCAACGTGAAAAAAGAAGGAGAGACAAAGAGCCATGTTTCAAGAAAAGCTTTGGGTCATGTTGTTTCTTCTTTTCATTTCCTTACAGCGTTACGTTTTTTTAGCTCAGCACAGGAAAGACGTAAGATAACAACGAAACAGTAAACAGAACTTAAATCTGACCAGAGGAGGTCAGGAAAGATAAATAATCTAAGCAAATCAGTACAAACACTCTTCTCTATCTCTGTAGCTGAATCACACACAGGAGAAAAGGTACATTCAAAAGAAATGGCACCCCTACAGCCTGGCTGTTAGTCACTGTAAATAAGTTAGAGAACTGGACTCCACGCTCAGTTGTGTTCTAGAGTTCAGTACCAGTTGGCTCTGATATAAAAGCTTAAATATGATGACCAG